TTCGAATGGATGAAATCGGCAATATAAAAATTTCTATCGATAAAATGCAAGATAAAATCAAAAATTTACAAGATGAAATTGAGAAATTGAAAAAAGAAAATGAATACTTACACGGTGAAATGAATAACCTCTGTGGCAAATTCAGCTTACTTCAATTAAATGGGAATATATACGGAAAGAATCAAGAGAAAATGCATATATTAACTCAAATTCGAAAAACATTTCTAGAATATAGAAATAAATATGAATCGGATAAGCAAAGTAAAGTTTTAGATCTAAATTATTCTTATACGTACTTTATTTTAATCATATGTAATTGTTAATTAAGTCACGGTTGAAGCCGACTCCTCGAAGATTGTCGAAATAGTTGAGGCAGACAAAATTGAAGCTGGCCCCTCGCAGATTGTGGCAAAAACAACATTAGAGATTCCAGAAATTTTAGGCGAAATTGCTATTAATTTATCTCCAAAAGATTTTTTAACATTACTATTAGTAAATAAATCGATCAAAGATAAATTGGAATTTCATTTTTTTAATTACCAAAATATGTGGAGAAATTACTTTCATCGATTATTTCCCAAAAGACTATCGAAGCAGGAAATTTATTTTTTATATAGCTATAAAAAATGCATACATTGTGACAAAGAATTTGATGATCCGGTAATAATCTTCGAATTGAAAATTAAAATTTGTAGAAATTGTATTGTTCTCGCTTTATTGAGGTAAATAAAAATAGCATTTTATCTCCTTTTCGTTTTTTTTTTCTATTATTGATTTAATTTATTTTAGTCGCAGAGATTTTGAAGAAACTTATCCACTTGACAATGCGACTCCATTTATTAAAAACAAAATAATTAAAGCAATTAATACAGTTGATTTTCAACAACTTCAAGGATCATATCTTCACTTCGACTTTCGAAATCATCCCGACTTATCGCATTTACTATTTTATTTTAAAAAAGATGTCGAAAGTTTCGTTAAGGAATTCAATCAAATTCCTAATAATTTGATAAATGGGTGGTTAGAAGAGAAATCATGTATTGTTCATGAATATCAAAAGAATGTTCTAAAACTTAAACATCCTTTGATTAATGATCAAAATATTGAAATGATGTTAAGTCGTGCTGCATTTCATGTTCCTCTAGAATATAGGCTTCGTGATAACCTAAATACCATCTTTTCTTATATCAGTAAATAATGAATACGATTTATTCTATTGTAAATATATTGTTAATAAAATTCAATAAATAAACAGAACAACGAATTGTAAAGCATGATATGGAAATAATATTAAGCAGTGTTAAGTTTTATTTATATATTTGTACACGTATGAAAATTAAGAGAATACAATACTATGAAATCTAAATTATCACTAAGACTATATTCTGGGAAATTGCATATATCTGAATATAACGAATATTTCATAAAATATAAAGATTTTTTTTTCAAATTCGATTTATGTTTAGCATCTAGAGATGGAACTAGCAATACGAAAAATAGGCAAATTGTATTAATAATTTATGAAGAAAATTTTTTTTCAATTTGGATATTTTCAAAATACACGAAATATTATACGCAAGTCATAAATCTCAGTTAAATTTAATGTTCTTATTCTTGGTTTACAAAATTTAAAAAAAAAAACATTTGTCAAAAAAATTCAAGAATAAATTATTTTAAAATTTTATTTAGTTTACCGAATATTCCATTCAAAAAAAAATTATTAGAAAAGAAAATAAAATAATCTTGATTTAAAATGTTAAAAAGAAAATTGCTCATTATCAGAATATTGATGTCAACATTAGAGTACATCTTTCTCATCATCATTTAAGAGCAAAACGACAAAATGAGAATAAAATCGAAAAAAATTGTTAAGATTCATCAAACATCAAGTTCAAATTATTAGAAAACAAAAATACCAACGTAAAGCTTATGAAAAAAAGAATAAAGTCATGAGAGTATAAAATCGAAAACTAATGTGTAAAGACTTAAGGAAAAATATAAAGAGAGTAAATTGAGAACGGCCCGGTGGGCTCACAATCTCGATCGGCCCGGTGGGCTCACAATCAGAAGTATAACAAAGGCAATTAGTGAAAACAGAAGGTACAAATAAAGTTTCTTTCTTTTATACAACACTTAATCATTAGTTTCTTGGTCGATTTTCGAAAAAATATGACCAAAATAGCTTTTCCTCAAAAAAAAAAAAAAAAAAAGAAAACCATTAGTAACCATATTATATTCAAAACAATAAATCAAACTATTGTCACTTTCCTATTTATGAAAATAGACACTTCTTTCCCTCGAAAAAAAAGAAAAAAACATCAATAACCACATACTGTAATTATATTAATTCAAAATTAAGATTACTTTCCTGTTCATACTTCACGCTCGATTATTCTTTAACAGATATCTACGTTTGATTAAAAATATTACATTAGTTTATACGATTCCGGCGGAGAGCTTACTATCTTGGTACTCATAATTAGTTTAAATATTATCATCACAGCTTAATAAATAAAAATTATAGTGATACATGAATTTTATTTTCTCACGACATTAAAAAAATCAAATATCTTGGAGACAGAAAACGCGAAAACTCTTGTAACTTAGCTTTTAGCTTAGAAATTTCACGTATTAAAGCTGCAAACAAGCTGAATCCCAATTGTTGTTTTCCCAAATTTTAATTGGAGCTCATTTTTAAATTGTAAGTTTACATGGCTGAGTGTTTCACTAACAGGAGGAAACGTCCAAATATAGATATGATTTTCATTCTCCGTTACACAGATCACTCATTT